TTTGCGATCCGTGGAGCAGAGCGGGGGCGGCTGCCACGTGGACACCCCCTTGGCCCCCCCGGACCCAGCCACGCCAGATGGCTCTTCTCTGGCCAGCGGATGTGTCCGAGGGACGGAGGGTCCCCTGGCCCTGCCCCAGGGGGTCAGAGCAGCCCTGCGGAGCACAGAAGATGCTTCCCGCATGGTGGCTCTTATCCAGCTCCACCCCAGGGGTGGCTGGGGGGACATTTGGGGTGAGGGAAAGCTGTGCTTCAGTCTACCCCCCCCCAGGCTCCTGGTGTCCCCGTGGGATCTCAAGCCCAGGTTTTTAAAAGCTAAATCTCACTGATGTTACCCTGTCGATGTAACGGATGGGTGGACTCATTGCTGATGCTCATGCCGGTCGTTAGCAGTGTGGCTGTCATCGCGGTGACAGCCTCGCGCTGGCTCAGCCTCACTTTATGGGGACCCTTGTTTTAGGACCCTAGGGCTGTGCCTCGTTCACCCCAACCCCGTCCTTGCCTGGGTGCTGGGGGGCAAAGGCAGCCCGTGGTGGTGGGATGGGGTCTGGCAGCAGTTCCCTGCATTTCTCCCCCTTCCCATGATGTTCAGCATTTCGTTTCCAGCCAGCTGGCTGCTGCATGGCGCAGGGGTCTGCTGGGCTTCAGGGCATCTGTTCCTTCAGCGAGGTCTGGCTGGAGCAGGTGGGGAGGGCTGTGTAGGGGACGCAGGGGTGTCCAGGCGTGAGAGGACATGGTCCGGCAGCTGCTGGCCCTCACTGTGTGTCTGGGATGGGAGCATCACTCCACGGATGGAGGCTTCCTTTGGCGATGTGCCCAAGCTGAGCGTCTGACACAGCATCCATCAGGTTTCCTTGGACACACTCCTGGCTCGGGGGGTTTTGGGAGTTTTGTTCTCATGCAGCTGGTCCAGCCAGGGATGGGATGCAGAGGGGTACCCCTGTGATGGGCAGAGCTGAGTGGTGGGCACTGCTCTGAGTGCTGCTCTGTTGTACAAAGGTGACCTGTGCCTGTGCTCTACGACAGCTGAGAGCGTGGGGACTGATCCTGCATGGTGCTGGGGCTCGATGGAGGTGGGAGTCTGCTGCTTCTTCAAGTGTAAAAACAGAACATCCAGTCTGATGTTGAATTCATCCCTCTTTGCCTCCTAACTTCCCCACTGGTAAAATGAGGATGAGGATGCTTAGATTTTAGGATGTCCCTCAGGCTTCCCAGTTGGCCCCTTCCTTGCGTCAGGGTCTCATGTCGGTGTTTTCAAAGCACCTCAGTCTTTGGCTCAGGCGATCTCGAGGATTGTTTTCAAGGGTATGAGCTGCTGTGGCTGCCACCTTTGTTTTTGTTGCTGTATTTATATGGATTGGATGCTCTCCTGGAATTGTTTTCACGTTCCTGAGCTGGGTTTTGCTGGCAGCGCTCACCGGGAAGCCTGTGTTTATCCCTGCATCCTTCGGATGCGCGGGGGAAAGGGAGGTGTTGGGGGTCGGGTCATGGGCTGGCACCGAGTCCTGCGCCACGCTCCGCTCTGCCGTGCCACCACGGGACCCTCTGCTCCCCTCCGAGCACGTGTGGTTGATTTCTGCACTGGAGGTGAATTTCGTGCCACTGGTTCCAGTTTTGTTCCTGGGTTTGTAAACTGTCTGAAGAGGCAGAGCCTCATCCTCACCCAGTCCTGCATTCAGTGGGGTTATGAACCCTCAGGTGGAGGAGGAGGAGTGGGGTTAGGAGCCTCAGGCAGTGTCTGAAAGTGTCTCTTGATATGCTCAGGTGGCTGGTAACTAAATTCTGAACTCCTTTTCATGTTTTTCAGCTCTGAAAAGATCTTTTGAGGTCGAGGAGGTAGATCAGTCTTCAAATTCCTCCACCCCACAAAGACGGACCCCGAACCCCCTCCTCAGGTCCACAGTGTCCACCTCCACACAGAAGTTTCAGGAACTCGGCACCAGGAATTTGGAGCCATCTGCCCGACATGTGGACCCCACGGGCCAAAGATCGCCCAAGCCCTCTTTGAGGAGAGTGGAGCTCTCTGGACCCAAACTGCCCGAGCCGGTGTCCAGAAGAACAGAAATCTCCATTGACATCTCGTCCAAGCAGGTGGAGAACTCCACCTCAGGGTTGTCGAGGTTTGGCCTCAAACGAGCAGATGTGCTGGGGCACAAACCCCCCGAGCCCACCCCACGGAGGACTGAGATCACCCTCGGCAAGCCCCAGGAGCCGGGTCTCCGGAGGGTGGACGCGCCACCATCAAAGATCCCTGAGATGCCCCAGCGAAGAGCCGAGGCGGCCAACGCTCCCGTGCCCGACGTGGCCACCAAGCGCGTGGAGATTCAGGTAGCAAAGGCTGCTGAGGTCCCCCCCCGGCACGCCAAGCGGGGGGTTCGGAGCCTCCCCTGGCCCCCCAGCCTCCCCAGGCAGAGCCAAAGCCGCAGCCGGCACTGATGGAGAGCCCACCAAAGAGAGAAGAAGGTGAGTAGAGCTGCGGGCAGCTGCTTGGGTGAAATGCTGGTTGATGTCTGCCTTGGGTCCTTGCTGTGGGATCAGAGTCCGTGCGGGGATGCCAAAGGTTGCGTGCTGCTCTTTCGGCTCCCGTGGTGATGCCCTTGGG